ATCTTACGAGATTTATTCTATAAAGAATAATGTTAATAGACCAATAAGGCAGCTCAGTACATTAATAAGGAAATATATTATGCCCAAAGTACTGCAAAACCTGTTTTGGTAGTAAAATGACAACTGGATAAAGGACTGTGATTGCAGTGGTAGCAAATTACACTTCAGGCTTCAGCCAAGGGTCAGAAAATGTTGTGCAAAAAAGTGTTCGCTACTGTACAGACTCACAAAAGACTTGTACAGCTGAGTGAGTCAAACACAGTTCTGCAAGACTGAACAGTACTAAAGGTTTTACATTTAAGTTTGACCCTTGAATGTTTTCCAATATTGATTTTCTCTGCACTTATCAGCAGTCACTGTAACTCTGCAGACAACAGAACAGACAAATCGTGGTCACAGAGGCACAGATCAAAGAGGTTGCTTGAGCCTTCCTCCCTTTCAATTTAAAAAGTTAACAACCTTAGTGACAGGGACTGGAAACACTCAAGAGTTCTGCTGATACACCATGCTCGGAAGAAAGGGGTATTCCTTCCTCTTAAATACCAAAGACCACTTTTTTACATGAGAGTAGAAGAGTGAATAAGATCTTTAAAAATACGAATTGAAAGCTGGGTTGCTACACCCATATTTAGCCAGCTAGTTGACCTGATTTACAAATATTCCAAGCATCCTCTATGTTTCCGTCACCAAACATCATCTGGGTTTCAAGGGTGTCCAGCACAGTTGAAAATGAGGCCACTGATTTTAGAGCCTAAATAGAATTCAAACAACCTAACATTAGGTTCCTACTTTGACAATGTCAGTATCTTGATCAGAAGTTCGTTGGTTCCATTTAACTTACTAGCTCTGCTGGGCATAATTGCCTTCAAGAACAGATAAACTAGGTAAGACCAGAAGTCCACCTATACCACAGTCATTACTGAGTGTTCAAGGAAAAACTAAGACCATGGGATTTTTTTCTCATCACATTCTTCTAGATCCCAGCAACATGTGATGTGGCTAGTCAAGTTATTTATACACAGTACTTGGCTAAGAATTTTTCCTTGTGCCAGAACTTACTACAAAACTAGTACATCTGAAATACATTAATTCAAACAGAAAGAGCAGTAATCTTATGTTATTTAAACAATGTGTGCCGAACAAAAGACTTTGAAGACCATTGTTTCAAAAAGAGTACTTCAGCTGAATGCAAACAAAGGCTTACAACCCCCAGGGGAGTAAAATAAACATCAGCATATTTGCTCTGTAAGTAGAAAGCTGCTAAGCAGTTTCTAACACCACCGAAACACAAGAGATTGGTGTGACTGTGAAAGGACTTATGCAATTAAACACTGACAGGGAAGTCAAGGTCTCAAGCACAGGCTCAGGTGGCACCAGAAGTCAGAGTTTCTGCATTTGAAAGAATATTTTTCCTAAGGAAATGGAAAAGGACAAGGCATTCAGCCTCTTCAGGTTTTGACAAAAGGAAAGGAAATTGAGCTGTCGGTCTGTGGGAAGAGAGTTTGTAACAGTGGGTTTGCAAATGTGATCCAAAAAACCAGACTGGGAATGAACTGATTTGAAGAGCACAAATAACCAATGTAGAGACCCTATTTTTAATGTGAAATCAGTAATTCAGCTTTGTTCACAGGAACTGCTTGTTCACGAGAGCATTTGCAACAGTGAAATACCTCCTATATTTAAATGCCAATGGGGTTGCCAATTCCTAAGGGAGTAGAGTACCATCAACAGCATCAAAACATACTGCTACTTTTAATCTCCTGATTCTAATCTCTTAGTTCTTCAAGTACATGAATGATGTGCACCTTTCAGTGTAGCATGTGGTCAGGGATCTCTTCCTTGAAAAATCTAATTAGGAGCTCTTGGGCTTGCAGTCTGACACACTTCCCTACTCCTTCTACTCAACTTCACTCTCTTCTGCTAGTGAAAGAACTTAAAAATCAGACAATTAAGTACTCTTAGGTGTTCATGAGATTCTCAACATTCTATAGAAAGCATTGAATCTCTGACTTTTAAACTATTTAAATATTTAATTTATGTACAGTTCAATGTAATATCATCAACAAAGACATAGAGACCATATCCTTCTTTTACTAGCATGAATTTAGGAGCAGGTATACTGAATCACTGGAACTGAAACCATATATAACCAAGAGAGAGTACAAAACTAAATCCTCCAGCTTCAAAGATCTGCAGGAAGCAAGAGGGGATGGCTGCAATTATTATACACAGGCAAGATCCCATTTCCATTCAGAAGTCCACAGCCAATTAGAGAAACAGGAAAACGTGTAGAGAAAACACAGGTGAAATGAATATGCTTTCAACTAGTTTTTCTCATAAAGCATCTATCAGACTCCAAGAGAAATGCAGCTGACCCAGAGTAGCTGCCACTAAAACAGACAGCTTAAAATGCCTAATTAGGTCACTCCATGCAAGAACTATCATGAATGTCACCCCAATCTAAAATGCTGGGGAACATCCCTCCCAAATAAAAGGAAGTATTTGGGGATATGAAAACCACAGTAAGTATCACCTGATGAGGAACAGACAAAGAAAAATGCCAAATGCTGTCAAGCCCTGATACTTCAGATAATGGCTAAAATTTATAACTTCCTTCACTGGTAGGCAGGAGTACAATTGGAATTCTCATAACAGTACCTCCTATGTGCTGGCATACTATGTTATGTTTATACTGTTACAGATAGACTAGAAGATAAAAAAATAAATACTATTAAAAAGCATCCTTTTTAACCCAAGGTAATAACTAACTTTTTTTCTTTATGTGGGTTTGGACACAGCTTTGCACATATCTTATTGTTAACTGAAGTAATTTAGGCAATTTTCATTGTATGCACAGGAATTAAGCATTTAAGCAGCTTGCTACATACATAGAAGCCTCTATTTGAAAAATCACACAAAACAAGAACAAGCAAGCTATTATGAGTCACTTAATAATCTCCTGCCCAAATAGAGCTTGATAATTAAACAGCTCAAATTATTTCTTAAATTGTTTAAATTTTGAAAAATTTGAATGTGTTTGGCTTGAGGAATTGTTGAATGAAAAGCATCAGGAAGTATGCACACCCATTCTTTCATCCTCTACTTATATTCAATTATATGTATCACTTGGAACTGACAGTGGTTAGAAGCAGCACAGGGGAATGAAAGCATGGGTTTTTCTCACCTTCTTCACAAAGAAAGCACAATTACAGTATTTTGACCACGAGGTCTGGACTCAAGTAATCACAAATGGTTTTGCAACAGAAACCTGCAGGCATCCTTACCCTAAAAATTGTGGGAAACCTGCAGGGAAAGCACTGGCAATTTCCCGAAGAGCAGTAGCATATCAACAACTGAATCCTGAAGATTTCTCCTACTGTGTGCTGTGATTTTGGCCAGACATTGCTCTCTGCTTTCTCATTCATTTTGTACTGTTTGTGTGTCTTGCCCTTCATGGTTCCCCAGATCACTGTTCTTATCACAAGCTAAGTAAAATGGCCTGTTTCTTAATAACAGCAATGATCCATAAGGACTTGTGTCAACCCTTTAGTACCATGCCTTTGAAGTCAGAGAAAATTGCTAAGCAGCTCTGCAAACTTTGTATGGCTTCAAGAACATCACACTTCACTCCAAATCAAACCACTATGCAAAGCACCACAGAATATAATCTGTGGCAGGGGCCCAAAGCAACTTGATGCTTTCAGTGAAGAAGTATCATTGAAAGCTCAGTAACCAGTAAAACCAGTAACCAGTAAAAAGTATCTACAAAGCAATGAGGCTTATATGACAGAGGAGGGTGACTGACTGTTTAAGTTTTAAATTTTCTAGATCTTCAGAAAAAAAAAAAAAGGCAAGTAAACTTATACTAAGAACTACACAATATTGTTATGTGCCAGCATAATTTTCTACTTTTAACCTAAAAGCTGTGGCTGCCTCATCCCTGCATGAGTTCAAGACCAGGCTGGATGGGGCTCTGAACAACCCAGTCTCAGTGTCTGTGCCCATGGGGCAGAGGGGGTGGAACCAGATGATTGTGTCTCCTTCAACCCAAACCATTCTATGGTTCTATAATTCTGGTTCACCTACATATCTGAAGTTACAATGAAAGCATTTTATTAAAATTGCTTCAGATATCAAACCTATTTGACAACTGCCTCAGGAGCTCCACAATATAAACAATACAGTCTGGGAATACAGCTTTCCTTTCAGTCATTATTTTCTAACAGAGCTTTACCTTTAATTCTTCTCTTGGATGTTTTGTACATCTGCCTACATGAATCCACTCTACTGTTGGCATTAGTGAATAAAAACAGTGTTTTGATCTCCGCTATTAACAAAAAGTTTCTCATTACCAACTTAAATACTTTTTTTTTTTTAAGAAAAATTAAAAGTGAATGGGGAATTTCAATTGCTAGGCATTGTCTTACAACTAAGAGAGCTAAAATTCTATTGTCCTTGCATCACTGGAAATTATACTGCAAAACCAAAAGTGTTTAAATTTTTTATTTTTCACAATTCCATGAAAACTTGATAATATGATCCTTACAATCTGCCTTACTCAGCTTCTGAAGACCAGTGTTTGAGCAGAAACTCATAAATCACGACAGGCTTATGAGGAAATTCTAGATCTAGACTTTAACATGCCCTTGTTCTATCAAAACATAATGGTAACATCAATGCCAAAAGAAAACAAGACAAAATGAGTGCAGCATCAAGTACTTAAATCAACAAAACCAATAAAACAACTTCAGTTTGGTAAATGAGGAAATTCAGACCCACACGGTTAATAAGCTTATATTTTCCTTCCCTAAAGGAAGTCTTGTTAAAACTAAAATAAAGATCACAAAGGATGCAAACAAACCTACTCACACGAAGTCAGAACAAAGTTTTAAGTTTGATTTAAGAAAAACAGTGCAGCAACTTTATATTGACAGCAATTTGACGCAGTTAAAAGAAGTCAAACAAAACACAGGAGATGAGATACTAAGAAGTTTCTTTACCTGGCCATTCCCAGGCTGGAGAAGTTAGAAGGAACTATCAAAACATCAAGCCTGGAGAAGGGGTGGGTACCCAGCGTGGAGAAAGCAGCCGAGAGGCACTGAGGGATGAGCGGGAGCAAACGTTCCTCGCAGAGCTCCACGAGGCAGCAGGGAGAGAAGACTCTGTGAGGAATGACTGCCTGCCAGCTCACTGCAGGGTTCTGGAAACGGCAGGGATATCCCACATGGCCACACATTGCTTCATGCCAGCTGACAACAACAAAACAAACCAACAGTTTAATGTGAGATCAGAAATGTGCACGACTGACTATGCTAAGACAGGCATGTTCTCCAGACATCAGAAAGACAGAATTAATTTCCATAAAAGCAGCTCACTTGTATTCTCACACTGTGAAAACACTCATTAGTACATGAGTAGAACTAATAATCGTTACTCATAACTAAAAAGACAGTAGTCACATCTTGTTGTTATAACAGATATGCATCAAAGGAATAAATGCTCAAAATATATGTAAAGAGAACTAATAACAATAAAAAGCATTTATTGAGAAAATTCCTATTCAAATTTGACTACGAAAATAAAATCCCATACATGTTAACATACATTAACACAAACATGTGCAATTAGAATGAAATTCCATGAGGGATTTTTTTCTGTTGCTGTTACTAAATTCTCTCACTTTTAGTGATTCTTTTTTTCTTCTTAAGTAAAGAACAGCAGTAGATATCAACTCAGGATTATCACCACATCAGACTCAGCCTTACTTTATGTTACTTTTGCAGGATATTCAGAGCTGTAGCTGGAAGAAAAGAGGGGTAAATCAAATCCTTCCTCAACACTTCCTCATATACCTTCATAATAAGTTATCTGCCCAAATAGACTCATATCTAAACAGAAATCAACTTCATGTTTTCACCTGTTAGCCTGTCTTCTGTACAGTGGAGAGCTTCTCTTTGATTTGAAATTTCAATTTAAAGAACCTGGTTCTACTATGCCTGGACAGGCACCTAGCATTGCCCAAAGCATTTATACTTGGAAGATCATGCTGAAGCTAAGTGCTGGCACAGAAAACAAAATGATAACATCTAGAAAAGGACAAGATTTTGCTGCAGTGTCAACACTTTAGCACCTTACATAAGTCTTTCTGTCAAAGATGTGGACTCAAAGTTCTTTCATTGATTATGTATGTAAAGAAACCGCATCCATCCATTTTTTTTTCTAAGCATGGTCTAATCCAGTATATTTCTGCTCTAAAACAATGTCACTTTGTATTTTATTATCAGAGTTAAGATTAGGCAGGAACACGAAAGCCAGCACCCCCTCTCTTGTAAAAATTGCCAAGTACTTAAATGACCACGAGGAGATAAAGTTAAAAACACCATAGTTCCATTTAACATTTACTTTGATACAGTCTCCTTAAGCCAAACTCACTGGCACCTGGATAAAAATTACATTACACATTTCAACAGCTTCTTTCGGAACTCCTTCCTTTTCCTGATGCCCAGAGTTTATCTCCATTACCTTATCAGAGGCATAGGCTTAACATTTGCTTCTCTATCCCTTTCCCAGCCTTGCTAGAAATGTCTGCTACTGTGCATAATGTTAGTTTGGTAACCTGGTCTCAGAGACTAAAGTAAGTAACAATCTCTGTTGTGCTAACCCTAAATAAAGATCAACTGGATATAACTGTAAGAGCATATTTTTAAGGACGTAAGTTTTTATGTCCTAATTAGCTGCAAAACACTTAGGGTTTCCTTTTTTGTCTATGCAATAGACACCCTGCTGCAGAGGATTTGGGGATTTTTTTGATCTTTCCCCCCCGCCAAGACACATTAGCTCTGTTTCTTCCACTGTCACCGACTCAACTGCTGCAGATATATCACACTGTGTCAGTTAACTCATCCAGTAACCATTACACAGATCAACTCATAACAATGACCATCGCATGGATTAAAACTTGCACTGACAAAAAGTTACAAAAATATTTCCTCTGTTTCAGAAGTTTTACAAAAGGTAGCAACACTGTGTCAAAATAATCCTTTGCACCAAATCAATAAAAATTCCTATTACCAAATGTGCTGTACAGTAGAGAGGAATACTATAGTGAAGTTCTACAGCTTACTTCAGCAGAGGCAGTCATATTATAAACATAAAAATGGCAAAGGAATAAACACAAAACAATTTCTAGAGGCTTATCAAACCTATAAAGTATTTTAAAATTTGCATAGGCATGTCTTACTGATCCCAGGTAAATTATAAAAATTTCTATTGTCAACATTAATAACAAATTTTTTAACCAAAATTAGCCAGGATGCAAGCCATCAGAATCCTTTAATTTCGAATTCAAAAAAAATAACCCTATTACGTTCTCATGTCCCAAAATCTCACTAGCTTTACCAAAACCATAAGGACTTCCACCGTCTTAATGTTAACACAGCATTAGCCCAAAACAGCTATCTAAAAGGCAAGGCTTTTTTTGGCAAAGTTTCAAATACTTATGACCTGACTCACCTAATCACCTTCTACAACAAAATAGCAATTTCTGTTGACAAGGGGAGAGAGCACTGGCAGTCGTTTGCCTGGACTTTCGCAAAATATTGATTAGAGCTTCCCACAGCTGGACAAACTGGCAGGAGACAGCCTAGCTGGCGGTCTGCAGGATGAGCACAGAACCGACCCCAGGCTGCACTCAGAGTGGTGATGGATGGTTCTCACTCCGGCAGGCAGCCTGGCACAGGTGGAGCTCCTTAGGAAATCATGTTGGGCCTCGCACTGTTCATCACCTTCACAAATACCCTGCAGGGTGGGATTGGAAGCACTGCCTCCAGGTGTGCTGATGAGACCCAGCTGGGTGGTTAGAGGGACAGACACATAGAGGGAGAGCTGTCCTACAGGGAACAGACAGGCAGGAGGAACGGGGCTGGCAGGAACAGTGAGAGGAGCAACATAGACAAGTGCCAAGTCCTGACCTGGGGTGACACAAGCCCAGAGCCCAGCACAGGCTGGGACTGTGCCTGGGGAGCAGCCCTGCTGAACAGGACATGGGGGTTCCTGGGGGACAGTCAGCTGAACATGAGTCACTGGTGTGACACTGCAGCCACCAAGGAAAATCAGATCCCACAGCTACACTGGCACTGCTGGCAGAGACACAGACACAACCACCCTCTCTGTTCAGAGCTGCTCAGGCAGTACCTGGACTATCATGTCTCATTCTGGTCTTCACAACTCAAGGAAGACACAAGAGGGTCTAAAGGAGGTCCATGAGGGGAGGGGAATTGTGAGCAGGCAATATTCTAGCAGGGGCATTAGGTGTCCAGAATGGACTGAGTCCAGTTACATGAAAGATCTTAGAGATAGACATTGTAAGAAACAAGACAGGAACTGGCATTGCTGCAGCAACACAGGATGTAGGATACAAATCCTGAGGATAGTGGGATTTATGAACCCTATTGCTCACCAAGCGGCTTGTTTTCACATAAAAAGAACCACACCTACACCCATGAAATAATGCCTTTGGAATTATCTTCCTGTCGAGGCTTTTCTGTTCAGATTAAACAAGTTCTATTTTGATTCATGTACTAATATGACTCATTTTCATATTCCAGAGAGTAAATGGAAATTCTACCCATATATCTCATTTTTCAACAATATTATAAACACCAACCTGAAATCAGCTTGTACAGATGGCAATGAAAACTCAGTGTTTGTTGGAATAGCAGCCGTGAAGGACTGCTGCTTAACTTCCTGCCAGCACCCCACAGCAATGGTGAAGGTGGATGCTGGCATTGGCATAGACACATAGTAGTACCAGCTCAAGATATCTGTAAATAAAAAGAACATTTGTACAGTCATCAGTCTCGCAGCACACATTAGGTACTTGACATTTTTATGTACTTGAGATTTTGGGCCAAACCTCCCACCTTTAATCCTGGTATTTCTGAGGAAAGAAAAATAATTTCACTGACACACAGAAGAACAATCATACGTAACCACCATGAATTCAGTACTGTTTACTTGCACCTCCAACTTTGCTCTATCTGCTGATGTCTGTATCTGTAAATAAATCATCCATAAGTGGGATGTTATTAATGCAACTTAACCCGATTGTACTGTTATACTGTTACTGCCCAAGAATTACATCAGACATGAAATCTAATAACACCTTTAAATACAAACATATACAAAATATTAAAATTTAATTCTTTCAGCCTTGGACCTACCACCTTATGGTTTTGCCTTGTTTGTATTATGTCACACAGAACAAAACCTTTCTTTGTGTTCTGGACAGTACCAAACTGATAGCCAAATTATAACAAATAACACTAATGCTTATGAATTGGACCTGGCAATCTGAAATACGTGATGTGTCAACCAGGCAGTAGGAAATCAAAGCTTGGACTCAGATAGGATACTACATAAGCCAACAATTTGCTCATGATATTCAGAATGTGCTAAAAAAAGATGAGAGTCTATTAGAAGGTAAAAAGATGCTTTATCATTATGGGAACACACTGTGGGAAGACAAAGAGTATGGTACAGGATGACTGTATGTACAAACAGATTTTGTTAAACTGGAGGACATTTTAGAACAGCACACTTTCCATTAATATAAATGTTGCTTAGACTTTCAGTTTGCCCCTTTAAAAAGGATATAGCTTAAAAGTCACATCCACACATTCATTTATGCCCATAATACCGTCACTACACCATACTAATAATTAATTCCCTTGGAAAGAGCCTAGCATGAGTTACAACCTGATGAATCATGTGCAAACAACTGTAGCTGGGGCAACGGTGGAAACACACAAACTTCATTTATTTTAAGAGAACATTAATACTTGTTCTTTTGCAATACTATTCTGACTACGGCTATGGAACACTACCAAAAATTTAAAAAGGAAAAATCCACAACCGAGTGGATATCACCAAGGCATAAAGGAAAGGAAATAAAGAACTGCTGCAAAACATCTCTTCATTTCCTACCTTAATGACCACAGAAGGTCAAGCTGTCCAAAGGAAGGACAAGCAAAAACATCTTTGGGTTTAGCCTCAATAAATTTTTCACCTGCTATTTAGTATGAAAAAACAATACTGTTTGTGAAGTCTTCTGAGAGGTAGATAAAGCCTTTGTCTCTTTATATGCACTTATACTCCCTCACCCCATTCCACTTCTGGCAACATTCAACATCAAAACCCTTTTGTATTGTCAGGTGAATGTATATTACTCCTCTAATTTTCCTAACCTCCCGTCAGTATGTAAGCAGAATGAACTTCTTTGCTCCAAACACATTAAGAACAAAGAGGATAACTGTTTGCCAAATTTCACCTCACCTTTTTTTTTTATTATTAACTTAACAAAGCTACAAATGAGCCAAGACAAGCAAGTACCACCTTGAGAGAAAAAGGTCACTCAGGACTGCAACAATATATTATTTCAAAATACCAAACTCCTGATGTACAGAGTTTCATTGATAGAAACTGTGCTAGAGGCCCAAGCCGGCACACACTGCAGTCAGCAGCAGCTTTACCACTGACTGACATGTGCACAAGGCAAGGCTCAGAGGTGCTGCACTTAGCATTGCACCTGTCACACACAGAGCATTCCAAAAGGCTCCATGTAGTTATGCTAATGATAAAATCTTAAGAATTAAATAACAGCAGGGGAAGAGTGAAAATTTGAGGAATTGTAATGGAAAAACCATCACGTGTTTTCAACTATGCTATGAAAAAAGCACGGAAGTCAAAAAGCAGTCACAGAAAACTGTTCCAAACAGCACGAGGTGCAAAGGAGAAGGCTCTCACAAATATGAAGTGATTGTCTAAAAGCAAATGGTGTTGGCCTGTGCTAGGCAAACAGAGATTAGAGAGGGTTACAGTGAGAAACAAGTTTAGTAAGACAGGTTAGAGCAAGCAAGACCAAAGAGGCTTTTTTTTTAAAAAAAAAAAAAAAAAAAAAAAAACCAAGTAGTTTGAACAGAATGTCAAAATCAATGGCAATCAGTTCAGCAGTGCAGAGAGAGCAGCACGTGCAGCATTCAGAGATTTACACAGAGTAGCAATGAACATATGCTATTTAGAGCAAACCATGCAAAAGAGCAAAGGTACCAAAGCCCATCCTATTTTGCAAGCATTATAGAAATCATGGGAACCATGGATCCTCCCAGAATAAGATCCAAGATTTCCATTGTCTCTACACACCTAACCAGAGCTCAATCCATTTCCTGCAGGGATTTTAGAAGCCTTCTGCATTCATAGTGTTGAACTGTGTAGGATAACTGTATACTCATCCTACAGTTGTTCTGTCTTGAACAACAAAAATCACATGCACAGGCATGACAAGTGAGTTCTCTCTATAGAACCACAGAATCATTCAGGTTGGAAAATGGTGCATTGGCTGATCAGTGACTGAAACAGTCTTTATGCTGGCAACGCTTCCCTGCAGATAGAACCATGAAGAACTGTTTCAAAGGGAGCCTAACTAACTTTTATTTTGTCTTCTCCTCTCACTACTGGTAAGACGGTCTCCCAGCCCGACCTTCTCTCCATAATTTCACTTCTTTCCTTACATTTTCTTCACGTCAGTGGGCTTTGTTTTGTTTTCCTTCATCTGTATCACATGAGTTATCCCAGGACATAGACCGGGATCACAGCTCCACTCGACTCCTTTTCCCCTCCCCGCGTTTGCCCTGTGCTTTTCAGCGTCTACCTTGGAGACAGCACCACCTCTAGGATAACAGAAAACAGCGCAGCGGGAGCAGGGAGGCGGCTTTCTTTACCAAACACAGGATTTTGTACCTTAACAACATCTGCAGACTAAGCAAAAACACCTTGGGAAGAACAAGATATTACGCTGGGGTTAGTCCATGGGAAAAATAGAGGAAGATCACCCCAGTCCTGCTATTTGTAACGGTATTTTAAAAGAACTTGAATTCTACACATAATTATTTTAGGCAATTATAATACTTCCAAAATATTTTGTTCTTTTCTCCACAGGAAATTGTGAAAATATTTTTTTTTCAGTTCTGCAGAGCAAATCTATCACGCCATAACTGTAAAAACCATGCAGCAACAATCACCTGTTCTATGGGTTATAACTGAAAAACCTTCCATGCAAACGTTTAACAAGAGCAGGAGATTTTAATCTATTTGTAATTGCGCAAAACAACAATTTAAAGGTCGTTTATTTCTTCTACTTGAAATAATAATGATGAATGATGTAATTCCTTCCTAGAATTTTTAATGCATTTAGTTATCTCTGAAGTCATTAAAATTGTTTGAGTCCTATAGAGTTCATTATAACTGTAAAAAATGCCCGAGTTAGTATCTGTTGATGCCAGATGCAAAACCATTGTGAATATTTGTACTTATCAGTATGTTTTCCCTGAAATAGCTTGCACTAACACAAACACCACAAAATACAGATGATGTTCACAGCGTACTGCAACCATGAAGCTCAGCTACCTCTACGGAAAAGGAGAGGTAACCCTAAACAGCATCTGACACACAAAGTAAGAGCTAATGTTAATATAGAAAACTGCAGCTAAATAAGTAGTTATGCAAAAACTACTACTTGGTTGGAGCACCAGGATTAAGAACCCTCCAGCTTTCTGAAACTCTATGTAACTCATAGAGATCTTTGATCTCATCTGAAAGCCAGAATTTCCCACAGAGCATCCAGGCATTCATGCCAGAGCATTTGTTCAGCACTAGCTCAGAGGGATGAGCAGATGTGATGAGCTGGCAGCTCTCACACGGTACTCCCTGATACGTGTTGGAGATCAATCAACACCAGTGCTGGACTCCTTTGTTTTGCCTTCTGAAAAGTGAGAGGAGCAAAACAAAAGCAACTGTTGCTGCTGCTAAGTACAGAACAGCAGCAGTGGCTTCTGTAGCACCCTGTTTCCTCCCAGTAACAGTACACACCTTGTCACTGTCAGTAAGGATCTCAAAACAAGCTCAAGGATTCTATAATGGCAGAGTAAGCACGCAGAAAGCAACCCAGCCAACTTCACACCTAACAGCTCAGTATCTGCTTCTTGAACATGAATCAAACACGTGGAAAGGTGTTTGTGACTAAATGTATTTGCACCTTCTGTGTGTTATAGTAGCATGCTGAAGGAGAGGAAAACCGAGAAGCATTGACAAATCCTATTGTAAATGGCTCCCATTGCACACACACAGCTCTGTGCAAAGCCTTCTCCCAAAGGACACTGCCAATGGCACTTTCCTGATTCATTCCCCTTTGCAAACTACTCCCTAAAGAACCACGGTATTTTTAAACACTTTTAGGTCACACTCAAACAGTTACTATTTCTACTTGCATATGTGTCTTTATCACTATTTTCAAACAAAAGTGGCCTCACTCAATTCCACATGAGGAGATCAACCACAGTTTTGTAGAAGGCAGAATGCAAAAATGACACATACAGGAGGAAACACACTCTTACCAAAATCTGCAAAGGAGGAATCTGTGCATGAGAGCACACCCAGATTAGCTGTGCACTGGATTACTGCATCTACACACAGGGAGATGCATGTCTGTGAGGCAGAATGCAGGCCTCTAAAAGCATGAAGGAATTGACCTTGCTTGCTGTTCTTTTATTGCCTGCCTGCATACTGCTTATAAATACAACCTGTAAGGGCAAAAATATTCAGCTGACTTGTAATTTTCTTCAGAATAGATTAATTCACAACTGCTTGCCAAAATGCTAATTCTTTCCGATAAATTGCATTTTAAAAAATATATTTTACGATTCTGCCAGTTATGTATCATTTTATAATCATGCAACACAACAACAGCATACTGCATATAAATAATATGGCAAACTTACTTTAATTGAAGTAACCCTGAAAGGCTTTTTCGTTGTGTAAAGACAAAACTTTAAGTTGGATACATTTCATATGCCTTTCATAATTGCCTAACAACAAGATCTACATGGGATAGGTTATTTAATACAACAGACCATTTTGAACTTTTTAACTCTTAAAAGTTCTACTAATTAAACTAATGAATTTGTATTCCTAAATTCATTAAGGATGTTTGGGTTTTAAAACATCCCTCTCAATACTACTTCTTTCCCTTTTCCCCCCATATCTGTTTTGTAAATTTTTACAATTCCAAACATCTCTCTGGTTTGCCATTTCCATCTGTATTTAAGCACCAAGATAATGAGGGTCTCTAATTAAACTAATTAAACATTGATGGCAAAGCCTTTTTCCTAGTCCAAAGTCAAGTCTTCTTGCTTTCTTGATGCTGAGACAGGAAAGTATTAATCTCCAAGTGAGCTGAGCAGCTCATCATGGCAGTTTTCCATATTTTAACAGCAGAGACAAGCCTTGAAAGAGGATTCATACATGGCCAAACATAACGAGACAATTCCATGCAAACAGATTAACTGATGGTTCTCAAATCAAGGAGATTTTCATTCTTTTTTTTTTCTCCCCAAGAATAAACTTGTCTATATAAAGGGGAATAGAAGATTCTTTCCCCCAGAAATACTTATTTCTAACCCTTTCCTATATGGTACTTTTTATCAGAACTACTTACACTAGAAAATACTGAACCAGTTTGACACGATATATCAAAACTAACGGGAGCAGGATATACTTTATTAGGTGTAGAACTCCCTTAAAAACTTCCTTCTCTGTGCAGACAGTTCAGAGAATAAAGTTTAACCAACACAGAAGAAATTCCTGCCTGCTTACTATTGCAAAAGGTATGTTCTATCAATGCAAAAAAAAAAAAAAAAAAAAAAAACAAACCCAGAGATCAGATTTTCAGGGCACTGACCTGATATTCCTCATTTCTCATCTATTCCATGTATTTCAGGAAACAGATATGACACAACGACTGCTTGTAATCACTGGCATGCTGAACTACACTCTGCCTGAGAACTACAACGGAGAGAGAATTATCTACCAAGGCCTGAAGTTGTTGAGAGCCTGATAAGGTACTTCATCTATGAAACATTCAACTACAAAGTGATTAAAACAAAGCCAGTTTATGAAAAGTGAAATCTAGCTTTGGAAACACAGAGTTAAAAAAAAGTAAAAAGCAACACAGTGAAATGTTGATGCTTTCAATTCTTACTAAGTTGTCCTAAGTCCTTGAGCAGGTAACTTTTCCACAGAGTGACGTGGAGATTGCAAAGAGACAGGAAAGTGCTTTTAAGGTTAGGAACTTCATTCTTTCAAAAACCATGCATTTACTAAGCTTTATTTCTAATTATAAAAGCATAGAAAATAATTTGCTATAAAGAATATATTTCACCTTCTGGAAGCTGGACTGGTTCTGCTGAGTTTTCCCCACTCATTAACACCACAAAGCCTGCAGCTGCTCGGACAGAGGCTTGCCATGTTGACAAGGCAATGGGTGGCTCTTGGCATGGGAAAAGGGCTCTGTTGTTTATTGGTGATCCCATCGTATAAACACATGGCCTAGACAGAAGGAAAAGGGATTGAAGTTGGATTTACAATAAGAAAGACTGAATTAAGTTCTCTATGAAAAATCAAAACTACTGTTGTACTGATATGTTTTTTATTTTAACCTCATTCATGAAAACTTTACCAAAATACAGAGGGTTGTAAAAAGAGATCTTAGCAGAGTTCACAGGAGTGAGAGGAAAGGCGGGGTTAGTGACTGCTGCTATACATATTTGACCAATGATTTGCATGCCTTTTGAAGGCTGTTTTGCTGGGTGCCATTAGTACACCCCAGTCTTAAGACCAACACAGGATTTTCATATTCCAAAGAAATGTTAGAGGTAAATTCCACAACGACTGAGAAAACTGGCTGGCAGAACTGTGATAAACCAAATGTTGTAATGCTGTGTCAAACACAGTATAAACATTTCATAGAACAGACATTACCAGGACCATTAATGCTACCTGGCTCTCAGAGAGCACTTTTTACCTTCAGACCATATTATATCAGTCTGCTAAAGAAATAGCAATGAAAGGCAAGTTCTACACATCAAGAGAAAACTATCAGAACAACAATTATATCGGCTTTTAATCAGGTATTATACTTCATTTACAGTACTAATTTTTTTTTACAATATTGGTAATAGTGTAGTGTTACTTTAGGACACTCACTGCAACTGATAATTTGCTTTGATCTGGGTCAGGTAGCACAGTTCCAGCATGTAAAGCGACCAGAAATATAATTCTTATCCTGATATGGATCAGATTCTTCACTTGATGCAGAAGAATTACTAGCTAACCTAGGTACATCAAAGAATGACAAATAATTAATTTTAGACTGCTTTTGTCAATTGATACAATATTTGCCTTTTTTTTTCCCCTGATTTATCTCTACCCCTGCTAGCAAGAAACTTCTCAATTCCCTTCTTCTTTCCTATTATCTACCCTCTCCAACTCTGCTCTTTCACTTTTAATGGTCTTGTAACATTCAGATCATCTACTTACATAATATTTAGGCCACCCATAATCTTTGTCAAGATAGGTTGGAATAGATAAGGAAATTGCACGCAGCAGAAGAAAGATAAGCAGAGAACTCAGGTTGTTTGTCTATTTACTTGTTACATTGGAAAAACAAGTGCCTGCAAAACATATCTCCAGTCACTCATCTGGACAACTTTATGACTAGTAATTCCCAGTGAACAGCCATTCAGGCTACTGGAGAGATCAAGTACTAGTTGTGGTATTGTTCGGTTTTGCTCCAAGAGCAGACTTGGGACTGTCTGTTGCTCAGTAATCTCTCCAAGGAAAATTTGATTCATGCAATCCTAAGTCATCAGTAGTCCACATATTTTCATAACATAACAAGACCAGTTCAAACCAGTTCCTGGCAGATCTCTGTCTCCCATGTAAGCCTATCAATTATAATGACAAACCAAGCTACTACCTTAAAGCTAATGATAAACATTCAGTTGATGTTCTGTTTTTGGAAAAAACACCAGTCAATAATTACCCATGTGTTTTTTCATGGTCTTCCTCTTAATTAGGACAACTAATTCAGAGGACCTAATTCAAATTTTTTAGAAATATTTGTTTGATGCCATTCACATTTTCAGGAATATCAAATCTGTTCATTTCGTACTCAAGGTCTGCCTATACTTTTAAAATTATTATTATTTTTGTTTTACTTCTCCATTGTATTCATGACACCATTTGTTGTTCTTTAGGAATCATTGCATATGACATGAGTAATCCAACAAACTTCACACTGCTTCATTAATTACTCAAATATAAATATACACTGGGAACAAAATTATACAAAATACCAGTAGAGAATTCCCCGCAGCTGAGGGCAGCCTCTTAGAATTTGGTCTGTGATTTGCCAGGGTTCTGGAGTATCTTATTCTACCAAACATTGCCCATGAAGAAAAACAAGCTCTTTATTCCCTTCCTGCATTTCCAGCATGCAACAGCACAGAATGATGCTAACTCATGCCACTGAAAAATAAACATCTATTTTCATGACACATTTTCTAATTTGTAGTAGATAATGCTACCTTCCAAACCAACCTCAGTAGTATATTCCAAACAAAACTTATTCTCTTCCATTCTCTGCCCCCCCCCCTTATTTTCAGTTAGATTAACTACCTAATATGCCTTATCAGCCAGCTGAGCACACACCTGTGTCATCAGAGCAGTGTGGAAGGAACAGCATCGGTTCAGAGGGGTCAGGAGTGTCTCTTTTAACAAATGTATTCTGGAAGGCTTCCTGGTCATTGCTTTAGAGCTTTCCCTCCCTCTCTCTTTTCATTAATACAAGTCACTTCTGTGGTTGACTTTTTTTGTTTGGCCCCAAGAGTCCAAACAGGGAAATGCTGAAATTCCACGTGTTCAATTTCTCTACTAAAAACAGAAGTGTGCCTTGCTGTGATAACATGTTTGTATACACTTAACTTGCCTAAACTCATCCCCCAAAAGCTTTGCTTCAATTGATTTTTTTTGTGTATTGTAATACATCATTGTTTAAAACAAATAAAATTGAAGTCTTGATAAAGTTGTGCATAGGCTAAATTTCAAAACATTGTACTACTGTTAAATTAGAAGAAAACATTGGAGCAGTCAACACAATGTTTGTACTTTGCTATTTACTTTTCTTCAGGATTGGAACCACAGTATAGACTCCTCTGGCAAAGGATTTGTCATCTGCCTAAAAAAGCACCATATGCATAATTTAGAACAATTTAAGGAATTCTCTTCTGAGAATATAATGTAATAATACTTTATACATTATAAATGGGCTTTAATTTTAGAAGAGGCAGAAAATATTGACAGCATTTTGTACAATGACCTTTATCACTATATTTATGGGCTCATCACGTGAAACTTTCTTTTAAAAATGTAGCAAGAAGATCTGGTGTGAAAATTGATTTTCTGACAGACACTAGTTTTTGGAATATCCTACACAAGCCTGAAAATAAATCAACTTGAAACTCTTTGCTATTCCCTCCTATAAAGAGCTTATATTAAAGATTTCTGTACAGTACCATATATTTTCACAACCACTAGATATAATGCCAATTCTTCCTCTTGTTTCAGTTTGCAGTTCATTTGCTACCATCAATGTGCTTAACAAAAAAGAGGAAGGAAATTTCAAAAGTTGATTATGAGAATAAACAGGAAAGGACTGCATTTCTAAGCTGATTACAATATTGATAAAGGACTAGCTGTGAAGTAAGGCTGTTAAATGTTACGTGTATTGATCTTCATGCTGTACAATCAGTTGTGTAAGCCAGGAAGGAAAAAGAGCACGAAGTATTACAGTACAAATAACCTGTCATTCACACCTTTTCTTCCCCTAAATGATAATTGCCTATTCCCTGCACACACTTATTGACATACACACAAATTATTTATTCCTGCTCAGAATGAAAAGACACAATCACTTAGACAGGCCTGAGGTCTTCAAGTCCACTGGAGTTTCACGAGCAGGGAGTTTGTCTGTTCTCCTGGAGGACAGCAAAAGGATTCAAACCAAGGCTGAAATGAAAACTCTGGAAGAGTGTACTCATTATCTTCACAGCTGCTCAGCAACTACACGATTCTGCTACATTCTTGCAGCTATTTAAAATTATTGCACACAAAGCTTTCAGCAAACAGTTACATACCTGCCACTCTGGTCTGTGGTCCATGCCACGGATCTTCCACCCGGGTTGGTTTTGTACCATATTCTTATAGCGTGAGGGAAGTCTGCTGGAGTCCCAATTCCTGGTTTCCTGATCTCCAAGCTCCAAGGGCCAGTAGCAAAGGGAAGCTCTCCACAGCCAGGTGCCTGGCTGCAGTGAGTAAAACAGCACAGCTGTTCCTCCCAGCGCTTTGCAGGTAGAGCCACGAGTTCATGGACAATGTGATTCCTGAGATTTCCCAGCTCCTTTGAAACATCAGTTAGCTTGGCAGGCCTTGTAAATTGTTCAATGCCTGACACAGCAGCAACATCTACCTCTTCAACCTTTAGCACAGATAAATCACAACAGTCCAATACCAGCACAAAATCCTGGTTCCCATGATTCTCTCTGTCACAGCAGTCCTCTGAACTGGAAATCCCAGAAGCCTGTTCACTGTTGCTATGGTTACCATTTTCATCAGAAGTATCTTCTTCACCTTCACCACTGACAGCAAAACCATTATATTCCATTTTAGATGAACAGGCACTCACATTTGTCACAGGAACGTGGCAGGGTTCAGATGCCCTCATTTTATGGGACTGATCAAACTCTGACTGGCAGCATTCTCTGCCAGTACTGCTGTTTTTCCTGTGCTGGCTCCCAGTCTCAAAGAATAAAACTATGCTGCCTTCAATAACTTTACTTTTAAAATCCACATCCAAGTCCAACACGTAGTGCTTTACAAGCATGTAGCTGGTGTTTGCCATTAAAGGCAAGTCATCCTTCATGGGGTCTAGCTGTGGATCCATGTTCCAGTCTATTGGGCAACAGTTTTACAAAGCCTTAGACAATTCTTACATAGGATGTCTCCAGAAAGAGAAGAATATTCAGCTTCCCAGTGCCAAAAATAATTTTGAATAATATTAGAGTCTTGAAATTAATTGTAGTTTCTCCACTTCTCACATTCTAAAAAAAAAAAAAAAAAAAAAAAAAACCACACAACAAAATCATTTCACAACCATTTCTGAAATGCACTCATTCTAAAAGCTATTTAAAGTCCAGTTCCCTTTATTAAAAATCATACAGCCAAAGGGTAATTCTAACTCCACAGAACAGCATCCATCTAGGATGGCATCAAGCTAGTTGCTTCAAGATTTGCTGTCAAGAACCACTTGGCTGTATTTTTCAGATAAGAACTCTAGTGAAAATATTTCTAGACAGCTTTTATAAACTGACAGAAACAACCCTTACTATAGTCAGCTGCTGTTGACTCTCTTCACTAATCCTTTAGAAAAGATACATGGTTACGAAACATCTAACTTTATTTATTACTGCACTGTTTGAAGTTTTATTTATTTCAAATGTATCAAGAGATACTGATATATTTCTACTGTGGTTTTAAATAATGAGAGTACGTATAATTTACCTCATATTTTAAAGTTTTAGAGTAATAATTTCATATATACAATGCATCTCCACAGATTAATATACTTTCCACATTACAACCACTCTCATATCAGCACTTCTGGTAAACAAAAAGAACATGAGCCAATTTACTAGAGTGCATTCCAAGTATTCCTTTAAGATTGTTCATGAAGATTTTTAAAAACTATAAGTAAATACTTAAGGTATATAATTACACCTTAATAGCTGGAAACTCACAACACTCCGGACAAAAGTGCTTTACAGCAAAACAAAAGGTCTTCTCACTGGAAAACATGTAAATACCTATAAAAGCATGAAAATATGAAAATGCATCAACATTTGTTGCAACAAGAAGCAGAAGTTCATCACAGAAGTTAAACTGTCATGTATTCATTGTTTTGCTATGACCACTGTGCAAAAGTCATGCAGTCTTTTTTTTTAGATACTTCTCTTATTCAACATTATGCAGGATTCTTTGCTATGTTATGCTCATAATATGAGTATCTGCTTTTCATTTTTGTGAAAGTAATGCATTTCAATTTTAGAAAAGGTGGTTCACTAACTGGACTCTAAGCATAAAAAATAACCAGGAATTGTAATTCTACTACAAACTTCTGATGATCATTTTACAAACACTGTTTTGCGTGACACTTCTTCAACACAGAGATGTAACAAATAACTAGTATACTTTAAAAATAGACCTCACATTCAATGCTGTTTCCTTATCAAATGTACTTTGTAAGTCATAAAATTATAAGGCAAGCTAATTATTTGGTTACATGTTTTAATATTTTAGAAGACAAGATGTTCACAAAACAACCACAACAGCAGATGGTAGCCAACATGAACAGAGTCACTCTTGATCACCTGCACATAACAGAGTTGCATAAAAGGCACAAAGAACGGGAAACGGGGAGTAATGGTCCTTCCTGGAATGATATTTGTATAACATTGTTTTTCCACTTAATACAAAAAGCAGCAATGTGAATTAGAACCATAGGTTCAAATACAAGAAAAAAGCTTCCAGGCAAAATAAAATATGGTTGCAAAGTAGACAAGATTAAACTTTCTAAAAATACCTATAGCAAAAAAAAAAAGTTTCTTTGTAACACAGTAACTCATAGTCTTGATTGTTACACTTAAAAGGAAAATGTAATAAAGAGAAAGGGGAAGGGAAGAACTTGGAAATATAATTCCATCCTACTGGGGAAGGTGGAGGAAAAAAACTCAGGGGCACCTGAATTACCCAGAATATCCATTTCAAAGGGTGAACAAGAAAATGGAGAATAACTGTTACAAAAAGTAGTCTAGTTAAACTTGCAAATAGCCCATTAAAAACTAGAATCATCAATTATGGTACTTGACACTGAAATTCCATTATTCTAGGAGGCTGATACTTGCAATTGCTAACAGCTAATTACTCCAGTTTAACTTCACTCCAACAGTAATAATCCAGATGAGAAAATCAGAAAACTCTGAACTTGTTGGAAGGTTCAGCAGAGGCACTGCTAAATGGAAGCAAATGAAAGGCTTACGAACTTAAAACAAACAAACAAACAAAGCAAACAAAAAAAACCCCAAAAACAAACCAAACCAAACCAACAAAAAAACCCCACCAAAACAAAAAAAAAGAAACCCACAAAAAAAACACCCCTCACCTCTTACACGAATGTGAAAGGCACGTGCAAAATGCAGCAGTCAAGACAGTCCTACCTCTTGTCAAGCAAACGTGTGCCAAATACAACGCATACACAAAACACCTCTTATTTCAGAGCTGTTTCTTTTCATGCAGTTCCAAAATCTTAAAAAACAGAAATGAGAGGGCTGTATGAGAGAAGATCAAGAGACCGATCTCCAACCAAACCAAGCAGTTACAACTCTGTATTTGACATCTGCCAAGCCCCAGAAAATTCTCTTAAGCTGGGAACTACTTGAAAGTAGTTCCAAATAATTTGAATACATTAACTGGTTAATGCCTTAAAAACCATTTCAACTATTTTTCATCGTGGAAAATCAGAGTTGCAGAAACTTATTCAAACACAAATGCTGACACAAGTAGCAGGCAGTAAGCCCCAAGACAGTGCTCATTTCCATCTCATCTCTTCTGTTTTTCAGACAGTACACAAACACATTCCCTGAAATAACAGCCAATTAAAGCAACTCAACAGAAATTTATGCAAATCCAGTTTCCTAGAAAACTAAGGATGGTCAGATGAACCCTACCAATTTATGCTAAGTCTGTTTGAAGATATTTCTCCCAGCAGCTCATTCTGCCAGAATCACCCACTTGGAACAACTGCCAGTAGGGAGCTATTTCCATGCACACAAGCCTGGCACGTGCACCCAAGCGGTGATTTAAGGGAATATCCTGATCTGCAAACAGGGACCTCTGGAGCACAGAGACTAGCTGGTTTATATTATGTACTCACTGTATTCCTCAAAAGGTGTAGACGAACTTCTGCACCACAGACTTTCCCTACATTCCACTGGCCAATATCCAGATGACACACATTTAAACAACAGCTTTTTATATCAGCAAAACAAAGCCATGTTTGGCCTCTCTTCACCTTCAGCTAAGCATTTGCTTCATCTGTACATAAAAGCTAATTCAATTCCTTTCAACATGCAGGTATTAGAACTATAACCTATAACGCTCTCTACTTAGCATTTAAAGAAATTTAAAAATGAAAAAAAAAAAGAGCCTTTTGGATAAACCTTGTCTTTCATAATTATAAGCAGTTTATAACTAATTCTCTTTAAACTGATTTCATGGCAGCTTCTCCCAAATCCAAGATTTAGAAATTTTTCACACAGTGTAAGACATTAAGATCGTACCCAGAAGTCAGTTTTGAACATCAGCATCAACAATAATTTTACTGTTTAAATATCAAGTAATATGTATCCATTTTTTTTGGTAATTACAAACTTTTTTTCCCCAACACATAACACAAATAGGTAAGACATCTTAAGCCTTTTCAAGGCAAGAATGAGTTCTTCTATAGATGAAAGTAAGGTTTAAACAAGCTAATAGGAACATTTGCTACTGTTAAACTGCTACAAAACAATCCAGAGAAGAGAGCTTGCAGACCTCACTCTGCATCACAAGGAAACCACCACATTTTGTAATGAGCTTGGATGCAGAAATTAATTCAAATACTAATGTCCCTGGATATAACAATTGGTGCCACTCCAGAAATTTTCTTTTAAGTATGAAAACTAGAGAAATAATGAGCATAATGCAAGACCTTTGCCAACTACAAGTTACAGCAGGAAGTTAATTCTGATGAGCTGAAATTACAAGTCGAGATAGAAAACTCCTTCTTTCAGCTGAAATAAGAGGGGAAACACCAAAAAATCAAAGTCTCCATCCGCCCCCCAAATACTAATTCCTTGAGAAAAACAACAAAAGACTAAAAGAGAAGCATACCTTACTATTGGTAAAGAAGCTAAGAAGAGCATCCTGATATTCCCCTTAACTTCTCTTTAATCCACTGGCAATTATTTGTATTACACTAGTGACTGAATACCTAAAACAATTAAACAGAGACCAAATACTTGTTTTAAAAGTCCCTACCCACAAATCTACATTACTATGTTTATAAATAAGATCCCAAACACTTACGTAAGGATGGAATTTTTCATGTTTTATTTTACAGAATTATTTCAAGGTGGATGTGATAATCTGGTATACCTAACCCTGCTTGAGCTGCAGCAGTCAACTGATGGTCTTTAGCAGTCCCCTCCAACTTCACCGATTCTGTGGAGATGCTGAACAGCATTAAAGAGGAGCAGAATTATTTTCACTCAAAATACACAAGGAAGGGGCACGTGCAACTGACCTTCAGGAGATGGAGCATGCCTGTCACATGATATTGGTATATAGGAAGCATCCAAATAAAATCCGTACTGAAATAGAGCTGTTTTTAACTCAGTGCAGCAGTTGGTATATGAATACCACCTACCATGCCAAAGAACCACTTTCTTAAGGCTGAAATGAGAAAAAGACTTTTCTCTTCCCAGTGTTGACAATGGCAAGCCACCTCAGACACTCAACTTGACCTCTGCAAAACTAAGCATTAAACTGAGCAAAGGAACTAACAGACAACTAGGCCGAAATCCTAAGATGAATTACATACGACCATTTATTAAAATACGAGTTTCACCTACATGTTTCTAGTGTTAAAAAGGCCAACGGGTGGGACAGCTCAATAACCAGCTTTGAGTGGGTCGATGTTTAAAGCTCTTTCAGGAAACCAGAGGCCCAGAACAGGGGCACTGATTCAAGCGGTGCGACAAAAGGCGGCAGGTACTGCTGCGCATCCCCCTGCGCTGCATTCTGAGCCCTGCGCTGCTCCCCGCGCTCCAGGGCAGCCCTTCAGTTCATGAGCGAAGGCAGCGACGGCAGCTCGTCCCCTCCCGGAGCGCCTCCCCAGCCGCGGCCTGGCGGGAGCGCCGCGGGACGGGGATCCCACCTCGGCCCCGCCGGCCCGGAGCGGGCCCGGCCCGGGCAGGGATGGAGCCGGGGGAGGGCAAAGGCAAGGAGGGAACGCTCGGAACGGGGGCCGCTGCCCGCCCGGGGACACGCGGAGCCGAAGCCGCGTTACCTGCGCTCCGCCCGCCGCCCGGGCCCGCGCGGCGCCCTCGGATGAGCTCAAACGGCCCCGCCCCGGCCCCGCCCCGGCCCGGCCCGGCCCCGCCCCGCCCCGTACCCTCGCCCGCTCCTTCCTTCCCCAGCCCCGCTCCTTGCCCGGGTAAGCGGGGACAGCGCGGTTCTTGCCCGCAGGCCTGGCCTGACCTGGCCAGCCATGGGCTGATTCGGCGGAGGACAAACTGTCAGAGACTGAGCCAGCGGTGTGGCCTGGCGGTCAGGAGGGCCAGTGGTGTCCTGGGGTGCATCGGGAGCAAGTCAGCAGGTCATCTGCAGGTCGAGGGAGGTGATCCTGCCTTTCTGCTTGGCCCTAGCAAGGCCACATCTGGAATGCTGTGTCCATTTCTGGGCTCCTCAGCACAAGGAGCTACTGGAGAGGGTCCAGGGCAGGGCAACAAAGATGATTTGGAGTCTGGAGCATCTCTCTAATGAGGAGAGACTGCAGGACCTGGGTCTGTTTAGTCTGGAGAGGAGAAGACTGAGAGGGAATCTCAGCAACATGTACAAATACCTCAAAGGCAGGTGTCAGGGGGAAGGTGACAAACTCTTTTCAGTGGTGTCCAGTAACAGGATGAGGAGCAGTGGCCATAAACTAAAATGTTAGAACTTCCACCTCAGTATGAGGAAGAACCTCTTTCCATTGAGGATGGCAGAGCCCTGGAACAGGCTGCCCAGGGAGGTCATGGATTCTCCCTTTCCGGAGACATTCAAGACCCACCTGGACACATTCTTGTATAACCTGCTCTACATGACCCTGCCTTGGCATGGGGCTAGATGATCTCCAGAGGTCACTCAGCCTTTTTTCGTCAGATTCTCCAGACCAACTTTGTAGCCCTCTGCTAGACCTGTTTCAGGAGCTCAGTGTCTCTTAGTCCTGAGCAGAACTGGGCACTACTCTCCAGGTGAGACCTCACCAGGGCTGAGTGAGGGGCAGGGTCACCTGTGACCTGCTGGCAGTGCTCCTCCTAATGCACCCCAGGACACCATTGGCCTTCCTGGACACTAGGGCACACCAATGGTTGTCTTAATTCAGCCTCATGCTTTGATACCAGTTTGGCTTCATCAAATCTTAGTGCAGTCATTGAAATATTGGATAAAGAAACTGAAACATCTTGCTTTCAGGAAACCTTTCTCAACCAACACAAGAAAACTACTTATTGCCCTGGAGACTGAGTTTTATTATGGTCAGTGGAGAGATCTCATTGTGAACCCTTACAGCTCATACACCAAAGGGAAGCTGAGTGGAGCGAATCATCATTAAAAACTTCTATTCACTCATCTCCAAATGTAATGTAAACAAAGAATGTAAGTAGACATATGCATAATGTAACACTTTGCTGCAGGCCTTTGATTTAATAATATGAAATGGTTTGCCA